CATACTGTGGACAAATTCATTACTAATGGAGATTGGGGTGTCACGGTACTCCAAAAACACTTTGGCTTGGATCTAGTTCACATGATTACAAACATTAAAATCAGCAAAGTGGAGGAGAAGACAAGCTGGAACTGATCAATAAATTTTCTAGGAAGACTTTAGCAGCATTAGCATCAAAAGCTATGGAAGAAGATAGAAAAACAGAAGATGGCTGGAAGTGGATGGAAAAGGCAAAGATAAATCCTAGAGTTTATTTGTTTTGGTGGAGGCTGCGTAACAAAGCCATTCCTACCAATCAATTTTTAAGTTATAGGAGGCTAATGGGGCATGATAATTGTACAAGAGGATGCAACAGTGTGGAAGATGGAGGTCATTTAGCAGCAGGTTGCGGTAAACTCAAGGAGGTTCTTGAAATCCTTAACAGTTGGGGATTTTGGATTCCAAATATGAATTCTCTAGAAGACTGTTGCAAATGGATGGATGGAAAATGCAAATGGATGGTGAATTTGTACTATAACACCGTATATTTATCTTTGAAGGCTAGGAACCTGTGGGTGCATGAGAACAAGCTCTCCAGTCCTTCTATAATAGCTTCTAATGCGGTTGATATTGCTGCAGTTATTAGGAATTCTTCTTGTATAAACTCAGGTATAGAGAATGCTAATCAACCGGGATGGTTGTTGAATTCTTGGTGTCCTCCTCCACCTGATTGGATCAAAGTGAACATAGATACGGATCTTTTCAAGTCTTATAAAGTTGGAATTGGAGAAGTTTTTAGAGACTGTCAGGGGAGATTCTTAATGGCATTTGGTAGTTCTTACATTCACTGGGATGCTGCGGAACTAGAGTTACAAGCTATTCTTTCGATCAGATCGGAGCTCAGAAATTAGATGTTTTATTATAAAGGCTTTACATTGAAGGAGATAACATAAATGTTATAAATTACGTAAAGAAGTCAATGGAAGATTGAGTAGAAGAGCTGAGAGGTATTTATTTTATAAAAGATTTT